CTCCTTCCAGCGCAGCTACAGTCAAATCCTCCCGCCCTCTCCTCCAGGAAGCCTTCGAGGCCCACTACAACAGCCACTGACCCCTGCCTCGTCTGATGGTGCTGAGGCCCAGGCCAGAAGGTCTGGTCCCCAGTGGGATCAGAGTAGTGCTGTAGTGGGTTGAGGGAACGCACCCCCCGCCCCCAACACACACCAAATTCATATCTACCTGGAACCTCAGAATGGGACCTTATTTGGAATTAGGGTCTTTGCAGATGTAATTAGTTAAGAGTCCTAAGATGAAAACTCATCCTACATTTAGGGTAGATCCCTAAATCTAATGACTGTGGTCCCTACAAGAGCAGAGGACACACAGAGACCTGGAGAGGAGAAGACCACACGACGATGGAGGCAGAGACTGGGGCTGTGCAGCCCATGGTGAGCAGACAGGCTGCCACCAGGAGCCGGGGGGGACGCAAGGAAGGAAGGATTTTCCCCCAGAGCCGTTAGAGGGAGCTCTGCCACATCTTGATCCTAGACCTCTGGCCTTCAGAATAGTGAGAGAATAAATCCTGTTGTTTAAAACTGCTCGTTTGTGGTAATTTGCTATGGCAGCCCCAGGAAATGAATTCAGAGCCCAGAGGGGAGGGGAAAGCCTCAGGGCAGAGTGGCCAGGAACGACAGGGCTTCTCATCTGGTCGCTGAGGGGCTGAAGGTTCCTCAGGCGACCCCGCGGCCTATGCTGGCACAGTGGGCACAGCTGTTCTGTTCCTTCCCCAGGGGCTCCGTGGGGTCTCTGGAGTGACTGGGTCTAGGCACAGCTGTCCAATCTTTCAGAAACGGCCCTCCCTCCCTGTGGTGGCTGAGTAAGCCCCTGCAGGTCCGGGTCCTCTCCGGGAGCAGCCCAACAGGTTGGCAGTCTCCTAACTTGTGTTATGGTGGCAGATCTAGGGACAGGCCACTGGTTCCGGCCTCGGCTAGACAGTCATCTCAATCACCTCAGAGATTCAAAAAATCCTACTGCCTGAGCCAGCCTGTGAATCTCCAGGCCATCTCCCCAGTGGGTGATGCTAACAGGGAGCCCATGAGAAACCACAGAAGAGGGCTGCTTCCGAATCCTGGCCTCTCACCCCAGGGGCATGAAACCTTCCATCATGACGGCACTAGTGCCAGGTTCAAACAGGTGGCCCAAGGACCAGGCCGCAGCTGTGCTATGTTTGGCCGACGCAGAGGGTCAAGCCTTGCCCCAGTGCAGGTACCAGTAGGTGTCTTCTACAACAACTTTCGAAAGCAATTTTTTTAGTCGGGATTTAATACAAGAGAATTACCGCAGACAGGACTCTCACCCAAGTCGTGATGTTTTGCTTCTTCGAGTGAGTGGATTATTTGGGGTGATAGGAGGGGTGGGGGAGGCGGGCTAGTAAATGTGCTGAGAGAACATGGTGCATGCATGTATGTGGCTGGGGTAGGGGGCCAGGCGGCAGGGAACCTGCTCTGCTGAGCCCCATGGGCCAACAAGGTGACATCTCCCCATGGCCTGCCAGACAGGCAGGACCCATGGAGAGGTGGGGCAGGGAAACCCAGCTGTGCCTACCTGTGATCCTCAGAGACCTCACACCAGCCCCTCAGGCTCGTGCAGCCCCAGCCTGAGGGAAGGCTCACTGCCTGCAGAGAAGACTGAACCCCCTCTGTGCTCCATCCCCAGTTGAGGGCAGGGCCAGCCTGCAGCCCCACTGGGTTCTCCTCCCATCCCTCCAAACACAGAGGAGGCACCTGGCAAACATCTGTCGTCAGAATGAGTGAAAGGCAGGGGTGCCTGGGTGGCTCGGTCAGTTAAGCGTCTGACTTCGGCTCAGGTCATGATCTCACAGTTCGCGGGTTTGAGCCCCGCGTCGGGCTCTGTGCTGACAGCTCAGAGCCTGGAGCCTGTTTCGGATTCTGTATCTCCCTCTCTCTCTGACCCTCCCCTACTCACGCTGTCTCTCTCTCTCTCTCTCTCTCTCTCAGAAATAAATAAAAACATTAAAAAAAAAAAAAAAAAAAAAGAATGAGTGAAAGGTGGAATCGAGGGGATGAGACCCTGCCAGGGAAGCCCAAAAGGATGGGAGGGAGGGAAGGAGGGGTGACTCCTCCCTGGGAACTGATCACCTGGGCTAATGGTGGGGGCGGAAGGAAAGGATGTTTGGGGGGTTGGCAGGGAGGGGTCAGGGACAACCAAGATCCCTGGGGATCCTGTCTACTTCCCAAATGTCTCTGCCACCATGTTAAGAAAAACAAAATAAGTAATACCACTTCCCCCTCTCTTTCTCCAGAGAGTTCATTAAAATGGCTTGAGTGTGCACGGAATTGGATCCCTGGCCTCCCAGCCTAATTACCATTTTAAAGAGCACTGGGAAAGACATTCTATCCACCGCCATAACAAAGTCAAAAAAGCCCACCATGGGGAGGGTCTTGCTTGCCTCGGGCTTTCTCCCCTGCTCACCAAGACATCTGGCTCCTGCTGCCTCTCAGCCTGATGAAGTCCGAAAACGAAGGCAGGCAGTGCCTCTCCGAGCCACTCTGATACCAGGAGGTACTTGACACCTGCTATGGCCAGGCCCTGTGCTGGGCCTATGAATGCAGTGGAAGATCGGGGGGTCCTGGCCCCTCAAACTCAGAGCCTGTCCACAGAGCCAGAGCACATGGGCGTTCCTGTGGAGCAGGGAGGCTAACCGAGTCCCAAGGACAACGTGCTAGGGTAGAGGGGGCCATGGTACAGAGCACAAGGAAGGCCCCACCTGCAGAGCAAACATGTGCTCTGAGTCTTAATGAGTCAGAAGAACTTTTCATAGCAGAAAAGAGGAGAGGGAAGGTCATTCCAGCAGAGGCATCACCATGAGCCCAAGTGTGGAGGAGTGCCTGTCGCCTGTGTGGGGAGCAGCTAGCAGAAAGGCCTTCTGGACCACAGGATGCAGGGCTAGTAGCAAGCAATATGAGAGGACACTGGAGATACAAGAAGGAGATTCTGAGAAACTCAAAGGACATGGGAAGGAGCTGAGGCTTTGATCCATGCCCATGAGAATCACTGGTCACTGCAAAGGCCCTGGGGCCATATCTACTACCACCTACTGCCAAGAATAGTAGCCAGTCAAGAGGCGCATTGGTTTTTTTGTTTGCTTTTTAATTTTTTTTCATGTTTTATTTACTTCTGAGAGAGAGAGAGAGAGAGAAAGACAGAGTGAGCAAGGGAGGGACAGAGAGAGAGGGAAATATAGAATCTGAAGCAGGCTCCAGGCTCTAAGCTGGCTGTCAGCACAGAGCCCGATGCGGGGCTCAAACCCACAAACCGTGAGATCATGACCTGAGCTGAAGTTGGACACTTAACCGACTGAGCCACCCAGGGGCCCAAGCCGCATTGTTTTCAACGGGACACCAACAAGAGGCATTATAAACAACTTTGTATTTTTAAAAAGTCAGTAAAAATAATGTCTATGAGGTCATTCATCACACACACACACACACACATGAATATCAAGTCAGACTTCAGAGCTGAAGTCTTAGAACTGTTATCTCAAACGAAGACTGATGTGGCAGAACTCCCTTATGCAGAGGAGGTCTCCGGCAAGCGTGCAGCAGACAGACACAATGAAAACAAAGTGTGGCCAGGACATTCCATAGCCCACACCCAGGGTTGTGCAGAGAAAACTCAGGGTCTCTCTCACAGAGCCTCATGTTCTCACCCTTCAGTCAGCTCTTCCCAAGGCCACTGGTTATCTGCTATATCACACACAGCAGAGGAAAAGCAGGGAATCACAGGAGGCAGAGAAAGTGGCTGTATTTGAGGCAAAGATGATGACTGGTCCTGAGGTAGGAAGACAGACTAAAGAGCAGACATAGAACTGTAATCCACAGTGAGCTATACTCTGCATCCTCTGTAAATTTAGGGAAGAGGAGGGACCTCTTAGCACAGCAGTCCCCAGGCTATTCTTTAAATACTTGTCCTCTGAGGACTCAGGAACAAAAGGATTCCAGGATCACATACATGTGGGAGATCCTGTATGCTATATGCCTGTTGGCAAATCAAAACCATATACTGATATAATAAAAGACCTGTGAAGTCCTGCAGTAGAAAAGTCGACTGACGTCTGTTTACCAATGCTCCTTAACTCTACAAGCGACTGACCTTCCCTCCCTCCCTTTCCTCAAGTAACACCAGCTAATAATCTTTTAGAACTAGTATGTTACAAAACCCACTTGCTTAGAAGAATGATTATTTGTCTCTTTGTTAAAGGAAGAAAATATCTTTTTTTTTCCCTAAAAATAGTTGAAATGATTAAAGTTGGTGCCTTTTGTGAAAAGCTGTAGTTGCAGGGGAAATTCACAAACCTCCTGACTCACCAGTAATGCCAGGACAGTGAAATGTTACCAACCACCGCCCAGGAGCTCAGTCCTTGGGCCACCTGTAGCCACCTCTAGGCCACCGGTTGACTTCGGACCACCCTCTAGGGCCAGGAGCCAAGAGGTCACCCTGGTCTAGTCCTCTGTCCATATACAGCAGTGCAAACACATCACACCAGCCTCAGCAACCGTGTGTGTGCACGTGCGTGTGCGGAAGTGTCCAGCAAGCATAGCTGTGCTCGAGGAACAAGTTCTCTTACTGCTCTCATTTTCACCTCCCTCATTTTACATCTTGCCTATCCATCCTCTTTTACGTGGTGACCCTCCAAGTAACTGCACTCTGTAAGGTTTCAACCTGCCCGTGGGGAGCAAGAGAAGAGAGACTGCAATGTGTCCTCTCTCGGTTTTTAGAAAATGTTTCCTTTACCAGGGTTTGGATTTTCAGAAGGGCTCGGGGTCTTTATGGGGCTGGGGCCTGTGCACAGACAGGAAGCTCCTCCAAGGCCACATGGATGCCCAGGGGACCCAGGAGCGTGCTGCTCCTGCCCAGCACTAGCAAGCCCTGGAGAGAGGCCGGCGTTGTCTCTAGGTGGCTGCCATGGCTGCAGACGCGGAGGGGGAGGCGGGGGAGCCCAGGGCCTCACCTGGTACGTGTTGTCGAAGCTGTCTTACATGAACCGTGTGATCAGAGACGTCTTCCCGACTGCAAAACAACAAGAAGAAAGGGGTTCAGCTGGGGCATGTAAACTAGAGTCCTCCAAATACATGTGAAAAAAGCAGATAAGGAAACAAAAATGTCTAGAGGAAGGATAAAATGAGAAACAGAAGCAGCAGCCAGGCCCTTGGAGAGGGACACCAAGGTGCGGCGGCCACGTCTACACTGGGTGGGTTAGAGTGGAATACTTGCTGGCACCAAGCAGCCTCCCCCATCCGGAGAACTCTCACTACCCACATTCAGGTCTTCCTTAACCCCCAAGAGCCCAAGTGAGGAAAGAAGCGTGCAGAAGAATCAGAGCAAGGATGTGTACAAGACAAGATGCCCCTCTAAGGGCCACCTGGAAGTCACTGCCCTACCGCTGGCCACAGGCCGGCAGGGAGGCATACTCTTCTTTTTCCCCATTCACTAGCCTAGGACTAGTAAAGAGGCTGGCCTTCCAAGGAAGCAGGGTGCAGTGGAAGGAAATGGGCTACCCCCCAGTGTCTCTCAAGGGCACGGCTATTTTTTTGTAGTCCTGACAGCCTATCTCCTCACAGGATGTTTAGCAGCACTGGATCTCACCAGGTAAATGCTGACAGGACCCCCTCCCACATTTGCAAACACCCTCTAAGGGGCAATAACACCCCACACAAGTGTCACCTACAGGTATGGCTGAGAGAAACCAAGCTGTCTCTTGGGAACTCCACAAATGCTGCTAATTTCCCAAACTGTGTGGGGGGTGGCTTCTGACCTAACCCTGTGCAGGTGCCCCGGGGCCTGGCAGTGGCGGAAATACCTACTGCAGCATTTTTAATTATCCAGGAGGGGAGGAAGGGTGGCGAAGGAACATCTGTGGGGTCAGCACCAGCATGGGGTGCTTCTCTACACTGTCCCATCAAGTCTCTGCCATGGGCCTAGGAGGTTCCGAGGGGGACTGGCCCCGCTGAGCTTGGCTCAGAGCCCCTCCTGCTCTGGGCTGCTGGAGACAGGCAACCCTGGAAGGGAGAGCAAAAGAGCCGCACCTGAAGGTTCTCCCTCCTGTCTCTCCCCGCGTCTTGGACAGGCTGTCCACAAGGCCGGGCTGTCCACAAGGCCGGGCCTTCTGGGGTGGCTGGTCACCAGATGGAGCAGGGCAGCCCTGCTTGGTATCTCTGGGAATGGAGCAGGGCAGCCCTACTTGGCATCTCTGGGAAGGGTCCCTCTCCGGTTTTGAAGCCTTAGTTGTAGACCACAGAAAAGACAAGCAGCCACCTTCCAACAGCCAACATTTGTAAGGGAAAGGCAATCTTCTTCTAGCCAGGAAGGACAGCTGAAACACTGTTTGGGGCAAACTGAGATGGCCCCAGCTCTGACCCAGACTGATTAGATGGATTCCAATCCTAGCTGGGGTGCTACGTGGCTGTATCATTTTGGGGTGGTCACCACTCCTCTGGACCTCAGTTCTGCATTTTAAAATGGGTATAATAAAGACTTCTAAGGGCAGTGGTAAGAAGTAAAGTGCCAGCCAGGCATACAGGAAATGCTTAAAAGTAGGAGACAGCAGACAACTGAGATACTGAGACAATTTCCAGAATATCAGAATAAAAAAATACTAGCACAAGTGCTGGATTGACCTTGCCCATCATATCTCTTCATTTGGCCATTTCTGGTGTGGATCCTTTGTAATAAAACTATATAAGGAGAATATTCTCCTGAGTTCTGTGAGTTGTTGTGATAAATTATGGAGCCCGAGGAGGGTCTGAGGGCCCCTCGAATTTGCAGCCTGTTGGTCAAAAGTGTGGTGTCCTTGAGCAGCCCACTCGTGGTGGCATCTGAAGTGTGGGGCAGTCTCATTGGGGGCACACCCTTCAACCAGGGTCTGATGCCAGCTCTGCATGGTAGTGCCGGGTCGTGTACCAGCTGGCATCAGAATGCCCACATTTCTATTCTGAACATCTCTGGGGTGAGCAGTAACTCATCCACAATCTCTTCTAATCGCACTTGAAAATTGATAGGGATTAATATGTTAAGTGCTTTCCACTTGCCTTAAATCTCCCCTTAACTTTCACATGAAGGTGAGAAGTGAAGGCTTCCTGCACGGAAAGGCCTGGCTGCAAACCCCTTTCCTAAGGGGACCACAGAGTGAAACCCTGAGCCAGCAAGAGGCAGACGAAATCGAAGCGAACACAGCATCCTCCTTTTCCAAGAGACAGCGGAAAGTTACCCCCTCCTCTGGAAGACGGGGATCCCGGAGCCTAGTGACTTCCCTAGGTGGTGACACACCCCATCTCACACCTGGGTGGAGAGAAGGCAGGAAGACAACAGTTCTCTTCCTGCAACGGCTGTTTCCCTGGGGCAGCCGAGCAGGCTGGGAAGAGAGGCCGTGGAATGGCAAAAAACAACTAGAGGTGCGGGAGGTGCTCGGAGTGGCCGAGAACTTAGAAATGGCTGCAAGGGCTTCTAATGCCAAGTCACCCCTCTTGAGACAACAGCCACTGGCAGCAGATTAGAACCGGCTCACAGAGTGACTGCCAGGTCGAAGAAACTCTCAAGACAACAAACTGCTTACTGGGGCCATGCAGGAGGCATTTTTAGGTGTAGGGTCCTGCCAGTCTTTCCTGAGCATCCCCCCAACAACCATGATCGACAGCACATACCTCCTGTCCCTACCGAGAGTGTCCCAGGCACATGCAGGGGCTGTGCCAGGTGCAGACTTCTATGATACCACTGAGTGAACAGGGGAGACAAGACCCCTGCCCACCTGAAGCCTGCAGGACTTCGGTGCTTGCAGCAACCCTGCACTAAGCGCTCAGCACAGTTTAGGCCTCACCTCTGAAATGGGGGCTCACATCATCCTCGTTTTATACAAGGGGAAATGAATTGACAGCTATTCACTGCCGGGGTCAGACTGAGTGGGACCAGGCTGAGGCAGTCTGACCAGGGAATGAGCTCCTATCCCTGACCCCCCTCAGCATCTTGGGGTCACAGTGGGTCTCAGGATTCTGCTAGGTCATTGCTGCCACCACTATGGACATCATGGAACTCTGGAAATGGCCCCACCAAGCCAGGGCACCTTTTCCTTGGGACCAGATAAAAGTGGGGAGGCTTTTCTGCAGTGGGGCCATGGTTGACCCAATCTGGAAGGTCAGAAAGCAGGAAGGGGAACATGGGGGGACTCAGAATGTGAGGGTGAGCAGGCAACAACACTTAGAGCCCAGCACCCCAACTGAGGCCTGAACTAAATGAAGTGTTCATTACTGATTTGCTGCAAAAGGGAGTAATTTCTTACTGTTCCTCCAGGTCTGTCTCATTTCTTAGAGTAGAAGCCCCCCCACCCCTCCCTGCCTCAGAGCTTCCCCAAGACCACTCATACTCTGTCCGTGGCTGCCAGGATAACATGGCTCAGAGCCTCACAGCTGCCCTAGGTGGAAGGTATGGGACCCTGCAAATGGACAGCTTGTAGCATCTACCTCCTTGGCCATCCTATTCTCTCAGTCTCCCCACGAAGGAGGGCAGGACAGCTGCAGCCATCACCTGACCAGGCACTACCACTGGGCCAAAGCCGGGGGAGGCCCGAGAGGGGCAGCGGCATGGTACGGCACCAGCTCCTGCCCTCGGCTGGCCCCTGTGGCCTCTGGGAGCCGCCCTCGCCTCGCAGCTCTGTTCTCAAGGTCACACTGCCCCACACGCCTTGTGATGGCAGCTCCTGGACACCACTGCAGCAGAGCTGAGCTTTTCCTGAGGACAAGGATTCAGCTCCACTGGCAGGACTATATTAAACAAGCAGGTGTACTGTTGCTGAGCCCTTCTCTCTGCTCAGGGCTCAGCAACATCTTCTGGTAGTTTAGTCTCACATGATTAAGCAGGGAAATGCATTTTCAATCTTTCAACCAAATGAGGGCAATGAAATTCATTACTAAGCATTTATTTGCCAGGAGCCTTTAGAAAAAAGGAAACTCTCTAACTGGGCTTCTACTCAGTACCAGACAAGGAACAGGGTGCTTAACTTGGGTTCCCTCATTTAATCCTCATCCCAATCCAATGACTGACCTACTATCACCAAGGTCACAGAGCTGGTAAGCACTAGAGCTGGCATACGGACCCAGATCTGGAACCAAAGTCATGTCTCATGCGCAACACTGTTCATAAAACACTGCAGAAGATCACAAAAGGCGGGGGCCCAGGTGGCTGGGAGGTCGGGGAGACCACAATGGCGAGGCAGGGCAGTCAATCAGCTGCGGAAGGGTGAGGGTGAGAGAGAATGGGTGTTCCAGGTGGAGGGAACAGTGTGAGCAAAGGCACAGAGGCAGACAGAAAGTTCATGACAAGGGACTGGAGGTAATAGGCCAGGCTACCAGGGGGAGCAGAGAGGTATGTCCAGGAGCCATGGGGGAAATACATTCGGAGGCCTCTACATCTGAGCTTTGTCTCAGGGAAAATGGAGCCTGACCAATGTGTGAGGAGAGGGGTAAGTGTTCAAGGAAGTTCAAGAACCCACTTCCTGTTCAAGGAAGTTCCGTGTGGCCAGTGGGTTGATTTAAACCAAAATCCATCTCTGGGGCCAACTATAGAGGGAGGGAGGGGAAGGAAGAGACAGGCAAGGCCGGGAGGGCAGGGAACACACCAAGGAGCATGGATCCTCTCCCAAGGGTGGTGGCTGCTTCTGAAGGGTCTTAAGTTCAGAGGTGCAGTGTGGCAGTTCATAACTTCCATGATGGCCCACCACCTACTCCCCACCCCACATGCTCTTTTCACCACCTACCACTGATACTGTGTAGGGGTGAAGCCAGTAGGCCTGTGCCTATGGTAGAAATGTCCTAGGACTCTCAAGGCTAGGTTAGGAAAGGCGGCACAGCTTCTGTCTGGAGCACTTTCACGCCCTCACACTCTGCAAGCTGTCTCTTCAACCCAGCTGCCATGCTGTGTGGAAGCCCAAGGTAACTCACCATGAGGGAGGACCACACAGAGACAGCCACCTGACAGTAGCAGACCTGTGGGTGAGCAAGCCTTCCAGTGACTTGCCCTCA